GAGTGTCGCAGAGCTGGGGCTGGAAACCGAAATCAAGGTGTAGACAGGGAGCACCCTGTGAGCTCTGGGGGCCCTCCTGTCTCCTCCCCTATGCCAGTCTCGGCTTCTCCAACTGTAGGCACATCACTTGGTCTCTGCCTCCACTGACACGGGCCTCCTGGATCTCTGTGGGTACATGCAATACCCCCTCTCCCCCTCCCCCTTCCCTCCTCCCGCTCCTGGGACTGAACCCAGGGCCTTTGCACTGAGCTATGCCCCCGACCCTTTTTTATTATTTTGAGACAAGGTCTCACTAAGCTGCTAAATTGTCCAGGCTGGGTTGGACCTTGTGCTCCTCCTGTCTCAGCTTCCCAGAGTGCTGGGATCCCAGGTATGCACCACTATGCCCTCTTTTTATAAGGCTACATGTCGCTGGATTGAGGCCTTCCTAGCCCCAATATCCTCATTTGCACAGTAAGGCCAAAGAAGGTCACCCTGTGAGGTTGCAGGTGGATGTGGATTTTAGGGACACAAATAACCACACCCTGCACAGGGGTGCACTGGGGCCCAGGAGAAGGGCCCTCAGCTGTCTGTCTCGGAGAGTAAAGCCAGGAGGAGTCTGCTCCCGCCCCATCAGACTAGGAGCCCCTCTCCCTAGGGAAATTTGGCCTCAGGCCCTGCTGCTGCTGGGCATGGCTGGCCTCTCCCCTCCCAGTTCCTGGACCCCTCCCCCAACACCCCAACATCTTGGCTCAGGGACCTGCAGCACCTCGCCGGGGCAGTTGAGTGCCAGGGTGAGACCTGTCCAGAGTTTATTCCTGGTTCACCTTGGCTTCTGCCAAAACCACAATGTGGAGTTTGGTTCCTTGGGGGGCCAGCAGGAAGGCACACAGAATCTGCGAGCAAGTGCTCAGGAGTATCCATTTCCGGGGCCTGGCAAGCTTGTGCATGAACGTGCGCATGTGTCTAGGACATGTGCAAGGTCTTGCAAACACGTGGGTGCACACATGTGCATATGCAGGTGATTTTCTGAAACCAGAGACCAGAGTCTCCCAGGGTGCGCAGGCCGCTCCCTCCCTTTCTTGAAGTCCATCCTGTGGAAAGCCAGGAAACCACCACTGAGAAACCACATGCCCCAGGGCCCATTAGTTCGTGTGGACACTGCCCTGGACGGGGCCACCCGAGGAGGCCTGGCCCACAGCAAAGCCATCCCCGACCCCACCTGCACCGGCAGGGGAAGGCGGGCTACTGCCGAAGCCAGCAGCTCCTCTGTCCAGTAACACGAGGGGTACAGGGAGCCCCTTCACCACTGGCAGCCCCTCATCTGGGCGGGCACAGCTCCTGGGGAGACTGGGGCAGGGCGGGAAGGGCTGGGAGGAGACAGCGCTAAGCCGGCTGTGCTGTCACCCTCATCCTGGTGACCCTGTGGCATGGGGTCTTCCCTGTGGCTCTGTGAGTCCGAGCAAAGTTTACTACACAAGGTGCCAACACACACAGGCTACAAACACACCGTGCATGCACACACACGGTGCACACATGCTGCAAGCACAGATACACATGCCACACACACACCCAGCCTGACACAGACATGCTCACAAACCCCATGCGTGCACACAACACGAATACGTCTGCCCCGTGCACACACATACACACACACACACACACACCCCACAGACGCGCACACAAGCACAGGCCTGCAGTTGCTAGAACCCAGCTTGTGAACGCCGGCCCTAGCTGGGTAGGTAACTTGACTCCTGAGGTCCCCTCTGACAGACACAACTGCTGGCTGCATTTCAGTTACACAAAGAGAAGGAAACTGCTCTGAACAAGAAACGATTCTCCACTGCCTCCCAGGGCCCCTGCGCATGGGCACAGGAGGGCCCCGCGCCTGCTCCCGGCGGCCAGTACACTGGCCCAGGGCTACCCACCTGTGGCCACCGGAAAGCAGGGCCTCCTTGGAGGACATGGCGGGCAGCGCTGCCCAGGAGCGTAGGGGGGACTGAGGCCTCCCACAGAAGCCGGGAGCAGGCCCAAGAGCGCCAGGTCTATCTCCCTGGGTGGCGGGAAGGTACAGGTAAGAAGGGAATGGAAACACAGCCAGGCCGCAGGGCAGGAATCTGCGAACCAGCAGCCACCAGAGACACTGATGCCACCCACACGGCCCTGTGCCGACTGCACCACCCCTCCCCGAGCTTCTGTCCTCTGTCTCCAAACGTGGGAGCACAGGACCCATGTACTGAGAGCACCTGGCCCCACGCCCCGGTCCTCAGGAAACAAAGGCCAAAGGACCAGGTCCCACCACGCCTCAGACAGCTCCCTCTGTCCACAGATGGCAGGACAGCAAGACAGCAAGACAGACACCAACTGCACTCTGGAGGCCCTGCATCCTGCACGGCGGAGAACCCGAATGTGCTGAACCCCATTCCCACAGTGGCCCCTTGAGAGGGGAGAGGAGCCCAGCAGAGCCCACGGGAGGGCAAGGACACAGCTCAAGGCCACACGGCTGCTGGGCCTGACTGGCGTCCCCGCTCTAACTACCCTGAGTACCATTCCGCCCCGAGCATGTGTGCACACAGCCACAGACATGTACGCGCATGTGGAGCTACACGGAAGCTGGGTCACAGCCACGCCTCAGCCCTGTGGGGCCAGCCCTGGACTCCAGGACAGCACGGTGGGACACAGGCAGGGATGAAGCCAGACCTGCCTGGCCACAGACAGCAGAAGACCCTGGGGAGGTCGCACGGCGACAGCTTGCTCTGCAACAATCCCCACACTGCACCTGCGCAGAGCCCAGTCACGTGACAGCGCATGCAGTCCTCCACAAGGTCCCATGGTCCTCTGCCAACTCCTGCCTGGTCCCCACCAGTGATGGGTGTCTGCAGCCCACGCACTGCCTAAGCACACATCCCACTTCTGTGAGCTACAGCAATATACAGAAGGCTCCACTGCCGAAAAGACACAGAAAAGCAGGCTTCTCACATAAGGACCACAGGGCCAGAGGTACATGGGACACGTCTGTGATCCCAGCACTCTGGGAGGCTGAGGCAGGAGGAACACATCAAGCCTACCCTGGGCAACCAGGCATCTTAGCAAGACTCTGTCTCAAAATAAAGAATAAGAAACGGGCTGGGGATGCAGCTCAGGACCAAGATCTCGGGTTCAATCCTAGTACTGAAAAAGCAAAGAACAGCACCTGGATGGATGTGGAACAGCCATAGCAAAAGCTTTCTGCCCATTTGGGTCCCAACTACCCCTTAAAGACCAGGAAGGCGTCTGTGTCCCTGGGACAACTGAGCCGAACGGGTGTGACGTCATCAAGGTGACCCACGCCCCTCGGTCAGCCATGGCTGTCATCAGCTCCAGTGTGTGGCCACGGTGGCTTCTGTCTGCAAACTACACCGAAGAATGCAGTCACGGCCTAGCCCGCGCCGCTCAGGACCCAGCGGAGGGCCTCTCGGGCTGACCCTGGCTGAAGCCACATGGGGCGCAGAGATGCATCAGACCGTGGGGAGCGCGGGAAGGCCTCAGAGCCGACCACAGGCCACAGCCACCCAGGAGCAGCTGAAAGGTGAGCGGCCACCTGCTCCCAATCCCGGGGGACAGAGAACAAGAGTCCCCAGGACTCTGGACAACACAGGAGAGCAGAGGCACCCAGGGAGATCGGAGGAGCGCCGTGCAGAGACCAGGGCTGGGAGACAGCACAAGGGGTACCACCTGCCCCGTTCAGCCACCAGCAGCCAGGCTCAGTCCTCCTCCCACACGCTGTCCCAGAACCCACACACCCGGAGCACAGGCACCGAGGAACTGAGTTTTACTACCAGAAGGTGAGGTTTTTGCCCCAGCTCAACTCACGCCTGATTCACCCTCATCCGGCTGTCCCAAAGACAGTAGAGCAGTAGACCAGCCTCTCAGAGGGCAGCAGGAGCTCAGCCACTCAGTCCACGGTGGCCTCAACCTTGGTGGGGGGCAGATAGGACCCCACCAGCCTGTGGTTCCCAAGGCAATGCGCAGGGAAACAAAGGTACATTGGTGCTAATCCTAAAGGCCAGGTTCCCAAGTCAGGACACTCCTGGACCGTGCAGGACCAGCAAAGAGAAAAGGATGCCATTCTCAGCCCTGAGAACGCCACCCTGCAGGTGCAAAGCCTCTCATCCAGGGGCACTGTCTATACCATGGCCCCAGCACAGAGGCAGAAGATTCACACCTAAAACCACTGCTCCCAAGGGTTTGTTCAGACTCTACCACAGTGCACATCCTGGAGCTCTGGCTGCAGTGGGTCTGCTGGCCTGGGCCACTGCGGAGGAAAGGGTCCCAGGTCACTGGTCAAGGGTCACAGGTCAAGAGTCATGGGGTCACAGGTCAAGGGTCAAGGGGAGGACTTGTGCATGGGGATCTCGGGGAAACACACAACGATACACCTGTCATTGTCACAGGTGGCCCACAGATACTTCCAAGGCCACAGCAGACCCCTAAGACCTGGGTGGAGCTAAAACTCTCTGGGCACCTGGTGACAATGTCCCTGTCCTGAAACAGTCTCAAAAAACACCAAAGAGGGCTGGGAATGTAGCTCCATGGCACCACAGCTGCCTCACAAGCACAAGGTCCCGAGTTCAATTCTCAGTACAAAAAATAATATTAGTAAGTAAATAAAACAGAAATTTGTATGTACTTAACAAACCAAAGAGAAAGTGCTCCCTTGTGCGTATCCTCAAAGAGATATCTGTCAGAGCTGAATGCTCCCAAATCCCACACAGGCCATGCCCCATATGGCCACAGTGCCACTGTCCATGTTTTCACGTCTGGGATAGTCCAGGACACCAAGCCCGTGAGTTCATGTGTACTGATCATAAAAGCAGCTCCTACAAAGGAGCAGGAGGGCACAGATTCTCTCCTCTGAAGGAAAACAAGTGGCAGGCAGGGAGGACAAAGGTCACTGATGAGCTCAGCACCAAAACACCCAAACAAGACGTCTAGATGCAGTCCTAGCAGATGTTACCGTCCCCAGCAAATGGGAGACTCACCTGCTCCTGAGGGACTGGCACACCGCAGGGCACCACCACCTGGAGAGGAGAAGAAACAGGTGAGCAACAGCTCCCAGCAGATATGGCCCAGCCGGCATGGAGTTCATACAGTCCAGTTTTCATCAACTCTGGCAAAGTCCAGGTCTTTTTTTTTTAGAATTTAATGAAAACCATGGAGACTCGTCCCAATGAAAGTGCACATCATTCACAAGACAGAATTTCACCTCAACTTCGAAGAGCTATGGCCTCCGAATAGGAACTGAGTCTCTCCCAAGTCCTCCCTCACAGCGAGGAGGGGGCGCTGGGCCCAGAGAAGATAGGGCTCTGCAGGGCGGTATTCAAGCTACCTCCACTTCTTGTATCCACACCCAGGGGCATGGTTTGAACAGACTGTGTCTTCGGAACTATTTCTACAAATGGAACTGAAAACAATCTAAATCTGTATATTGCACTCAGCACATGAGACAGTGGAAAGGAGTTTCCTTAGTATCACCATCTTCTGAAGAACAGAGAGCTCATTATGAAAGACATATGCAGCTAGGTGTGGCGCCACACACCCATAGTATCGGGCCTTGGGAGGCTGAGCAAGGGCATCGCCAGGCCCAACCCAGCCCAGCCCCTTAGCAAAACCCTGCCTTAAAATTTAAAACAAAAAAAAAAAATTTTTTTAAAGGCTAGAAATATAATTCATTGAGAAAGTTCTGGATTCACAGTGGTAAGACCACAACTAAAACCTAAGCCAGACAGGAAAAGGTATCAGGAACACTGACCCAATGGAGACAAGGAGGCCACCTTGGCTATTCAATCAGACCTCTGCCCCCAAACTTGCCAGCCTTTAACTTCTCTGGCCTCAGTTTCCTCATCTGACAACTACAGACAGTAGCAGCACCTTCCTCACAGGCCAGTTGTGAGGTCTAGGAGACAGTGTGTGAAGCACTCAGAAGAGAGCTGGCACAGAGCAGGGTCTGCCCACAGGGACACAGCTCCCCCTGAGCAGACCAGGCCATGTGTACTGAGGGGACCACGCCCGCTTTCTGCTGCTCTGGCAGGCTGGCCAGGCTTCCTACAGACAGGATTTCACTCCCCATGAGCTGCCATGCCCCACTTCCTCCTGGACCTCTGGCACACCTCTCACCTGAGGCCTTCTGAACATGGAAGGGAAGAGAAACCTGCATCTGACTAACTGTCCTTGTAGTTCAGAGTGTGACCTTGGTTCTTGCTCTGGCAACTATTTATATAGCGCTTGCTTATTTTAGTCAAGTCCCTCAGAGATGAGACATGGCTGCTCATGCGTCTGGGACTTGTCCTCACCCCGCCACCACTGAGTCATGCCCTGTCAGGGACGGGGGTCCTCTCCAAGGGCGCCCATCCACCTCTTGATGGCTCCCCCTTCTGCACACACAGCAGCTGGCTGGCGGGGACACTTCCTTCTCATCTGTGTGTTCCCCACTCCGCATTAAAGTTTGATGGATGGATGACCGGAGAGACACCTAAATGGAATACGAACACTCGGCTTTGGAAATACAGAAAGTTAGTCCTCACAGGATGGCAGTGGCCTCACACAAGGAAACCACAGCTAATGGAGCACTGTGGTTCTGATCTTGCAGAGTCAGCCGGCCCAGAGGGGGCGGAGCCTGCGTGGCAAGGCTCTGACCTGCAGTGCTGGGCACAGCCTCCAGTCCCACCTGCTCTACTCTGCTCTACTCTGCTCTACTCCTTCCAACAGCCTGCATGCAGGGCTGGCGTCCTGGGTGGGGCCAGGCCCACCCTCAGGGGAGCTGCCAGGGCGGCTGCACCAGGCACTCTCCCTGGTAGTAGCCCCTGTGCCCTGGTGACGGGGCCAGTAGGGGAAACTGACGCTCAGCAGGGCCATGTGCAAGGCTCACAGGCGGGAAATGACACCAGCAGCCCTAGGCCACGCTGTCCTGCAGGAAGCTACCTCCTCTCTCCTCTTAGGAGTCACGGTGCACATGGGACAGCAACACAGGGAGGCCAGGCAGGGACTGTGGCCAGGGCCCCTGCAGTGAGCTTTATTTTATGGCCTCCACTCTGGCTCCCAGGCCAATCTCCCATTACCAAGGACGACCACAAACAAACAAGCTGAGCCCAGCCTGCACCTGGCTGCGTGGGTGAGTCCCCCCCGCCGGAAGAGTGGGTGTGGACGGGGTGTGTGGGGTGTGCGGGGCACCAGTGTGTTACAGGGCAGGCATCTCTGGGTGAGTGCCAGGTGTGTGGATATGGGTGTGTGCTCACACCTTGGAGGATAGTGCATTTTGCAACTGTGTCTGTGAGTAGCTGCACGTGCCCATGCACGTATGCACGTGTGCACTGGGCTTGGCAGTGTGCAGTTGTGAGTTTGTGTGTGTGAGTGCACGTGCAGACCTGCAGGTTCATCCCCAGTGAATGACAGTGCCGTGGCCAACAGGCGCACAGTGCACCCCAAGGTCCCTCAGAGCACAGGTGCCTGGGGACTTTGCTGCCTGGCCTGGCCACTTCCAGGTTCCTGGGCACAGGACCACGGGCCCTGTCTGCCTCGTCAGTCACCGTTTCCGAGGAGACCTGACTTTGCTCAGAGCCATACCAAGGGCCATGTTTTCCTACCAGGGTCTCACAAAAAAACGCCCCTGAGGCAGCAGAACACGGCTAAGCTGGAGATCGACTTTTGTAGGTCACGGACACTTGAGCCCCATAAAATTTGGAGTGGGGACCGACGGCACACTCACTTCCTGTGAGTTCTTGCAGGTCCCAAGATCCAGCAGAGCCCAGGCCTGCTCCCCCAGGGCCACTTCTCCTGCCTGCTCCATCCCCCACCGGTGTCCCACCCCCCCAACTCTATCTAGCAGGCTCTGGGGAACCCCGTGCAAGCCCAGTTCTGGGGAACCAGCTCAATCACATCAACCAAAGACAAATTCAAGACCACTCAGGAAATGCAAACTCGGACCAAAAATCGGCCACCAACTAGCATGTGGATGCAAAGCAATCCGATCAGGGTAGAGAGAACAGAACCAGGCACCAGCCTGCCTCAGCCTTGCAGAGGGGAGGGAGAAAGGTTAAGCCAAGGACAGAGGCAGCTGTGCCTATGCAAGGTCTATGTCTGCTTAAAATGACTCCTAATAATGTGGATTCCAAGAGAAGCTGCACAAAACTCTAAGTCTCCCCTTTGTTTTACCTGCCAGAGGAAATCCAATCAGAACCAGGATGGACTGTGCTTTCTCCCAGTGCACAAAAGCAGTGGCCGCCCACAGGGACTGCAGCATCATGGGGTTGCCCCATGAGGTGGACAGAGGACAGGGGCTTTTTTTTTAAGGGCACTGATACTATCTTAGAGCTTTTATAATTCATGCTCTATGTAACTGACCAATAAAAAGCAAGATGTTTTTATTGGACCATTATATAGGACCGAGAAGGGTAAGTTGCTCCATTACTTTTATGTTTATTGATTTTTTTTTTGAGACAGGGTCTCATTATGTGTTCCAGGCTGGACTTGAACTGGCAGCAATTCTCCTACCTCAGCCTCCTGAGTGTGCACCACCCCACCGGGCTTGTTATCATCATCGTTTATTACAGATGGTGGCCACAGAGTAAGGAGGAAAGCCCTTCTTCCTCACTGCCAATCATCCAAGGGAGCTTGGAGAGGGGAATCTATTCCCCTCCTGGTCCTGGAGGCAGGAAGTCCCAGGTCCGGGGCCCATGGGTGGCGTCACCTCCCTGCATCCTCACAGGGTTCCCCTGCTCTGTGTCTGTGTCCTAACCTCCTCTTTTTAACGAGGATGTCGATCTTACCGCTTCAAACCCAGGCTGCTGACTTCATCTTAACTTCATTGTCTCTCCAAGCCCCTCTCCAGACTGGGTGCCGAGCTGAGGCCCCGGGGTTAGCGCTGCAACTTACAACCCCAGGGGCCATCGCTCACCCCGGGCGGCAGCCAGCAGCGTGGGAGCGTCAGGGCACACAGCTCTGGACAGACCCAGAGCCACAGCCCTGTCACTCCTGCTCCTGGCCCGCCCGGCGGGGGCCAGCACAAAGCACAAAGGACAGGCACTGGAGGCTTGGCCGACTTCTTTAGTTCTCCCCACCTCTGCTTCTGTGCCCCCTTTGTGGGCTGACCCCAGAGCCCTAATTAGGTTCGCATTCCTCTGGATCTCAGTGAGCCCAGGAGAATGGAGCCGATTTAGCCGCTCTAATTCCTGGGGAGCCCGCAGAACAGCCCGGGTGGAAACAGCTGGGATTGTGTGTGTCTTCCCCGGCTCCTGAGAGCTCACAGAGAAGCCTGAGAAGGAACAAGACCCAACACCCCTAGTTCTTGCCTCTCCTGGGCTCCTGGAGCCTCAGCCTCCCACTGAATCCAGCTCTGTGGTCCTAGTAATAATTTCAGGTAAAGAAAAGAGCTGTACACCATCTAGGTAGGATGGGCAGGGTCCGGCCATGCCCTCTTCATACACAGGTGCAGGTGTGGCCACCGGGCAGGCCTGGGTTCCCCCAGGCTTCAGGCAGCCAAACAAGGCTCACAGGGAGGGAACATGATAGAAAACAAAACCAAAAGTTCCTGGTCTGCATCTATTATGCGCCCAGTGTTTTCCCAGGACCAGACCAGAAATGGAATGTGAGCAGCCAGCCTGGGGGTTCTGCTCAGAGCAGCTGCAAACCACATCCGAGGACCTCATGCCCATGGGACCAAAGCCTCACCCAGGCCCCAAGAAGGGCTGCCTCCTCCTCTGTGACTGGCAACATTCCTGTGGCTAAGGCTGTGTCAAAAGCCTGGGCACAGGCAGGTGCAGGGACACAAAACTATAATCCTAGCTTCTCAGGAGCCTGAGGTAGGAGGACTGCAAGGCTCCTGCGAAGGGGCGGGGACTGGCAGGGGCGGGGTCCTGGGCGTGGCCTGAGGGCTCTATCACCTCCCTGGCCCCTCCCCTCTCTCTGCTTCCAGTCAGGGAGCAGCTCCCCTCTTCGCTCTGCCATGGTCCCCACGCTGGAGCCCTGGGTCCCTGGACTGTAACCTCAAGCCGGAATAAACCTCTCAAGTCGTGGGTGTCCAGTA